AAAACATGCATTTTCTAATCCACTTCTATATACATGAAACTAAATAAAAAGCACAAATCCAGCCAAATTATCAGTTTCTAATTGGCTAAACTTGAACAGTGAAAATCAGAAAACTCAAAATAATTCATTTTCTTCCAAAACCAAAATTCAAGCAAGGCACAAAGAGATTTCTTAGAATGCACTCAGCTCAAATCCTGTGCTGAAATATTGAAAAAAAAAATAAAAAAATAAAAAAACGTTAACCCACATTTCCCATTTCCTTTCTCAGAAAAAAGATACAAAAGAAACGGCCGCATAAAGTTACATTCAGCGCTATACAGTGGAGCTTCTGCAATTCAAAGAATAAAACAAAACTCCACCAAATTTCAGAAATCCATCCCATTTCCATTCCGCACATCTTTCTCAGAACCCAAACAGAAAAAACCTAGAAAAATTCCCCAACTCCCACCCCCTTAGGAATCAAATCCACGGATGCAAAGATCCAGAAACTTTAAACAAAACCCTAGAAATTCCCAAGAGAAGTACAAAAACACTGAGATTTGACAAATTTCACCCACCCAAAAAAAAAAAAAAAACCAGGCGAAGGGATTCAAAAACAAGAAACAAACATTCAAAAATAGCAACAAAACTTACAGATCGAAGAGGAGAGAAAATAGAAGAGGGAAAGCGACCGAGTTTCGTTGTGTTTGGGTTCCATGGCCGCACTCCTTTTCTTCACATGAATGAAACTATAGAATGCGATACAAAGGGAACTTCGGCATTGTGTTGTGTTTTTTTTTTTTTTTTTAAAAAAAAAGTTTATTTAGGTGAAATGAAAAATTGAAAACTACTTTTACGAGTACGAGTGTTTCTCTCGGGTTCTGACATAGCATATGGGTATGGGAGCTAAAAGCTCGATGGTAATAAAAATTTAAAGATTTTGTGCAGTGATGCTAGGGTGTTTGTAGCTCCCTGTGGACTCTGCCTTGTGATTCGTTAAATGGTATATGATATATCCAGCGGTTACTTTTTGATTAAAATGAGCTATGCCATTTCGGACGGCCAAGAAGTTACCATTCCAGTGATTCATATTTTAAAAAAATTATGCAGTAGTGAAAGTAATTAACTACTTAAATATTTT